GTCCCTTAATGCACACTCTTATCATGACTGACAACAATCCTGCCTTCACACATTTGATTGACCTCAGAGTAGAGGAGGTTCAGAGGGCAGGAGAGCTATGCATGAGGAATATGGCTGGTCTGTAATGACTGTGCTTCTGTGACCCTTAGTGGACTGCAATAAGGATATTTTTATTAAAACAAAACAGAACAACTGTTAATTGCTTCAGGGCAGATTTGTTTTCTCTTTTGGCCTGTGTTAACCTCTAACCAAAATCTGCCCATTAAAAAAAAATGTACTTCAGCTGTTTTTCTTTATTTTTAGAAGTTTAAAATGAAATATAAAGCCCATAATAAAATGCATATGAGGACACATATCAATAGGCTTGAGAACTATGTTAAGAACTACTCAGCCATATAGGTCTTCATTAGCAAGGGTTTTCTCCTTGTGAAATTCAGAAAATATTCTCTAGTATGCATGTTGTTGTTCATAATATCATTACAATATTACTTATTTCTATGGTAACCAAGTCAGCAAATATGGCAATATTAGACAACAAGGATTAAAAAAAAAAAAAAAAAAAAAAAAAAAAGCCATATTGCAAAAGAAGTCAACTAAGAGCCAAACCAGAGGTGTTTAGATGATGGTGTCATTTGCTATAATAACTGTTTTGCTGCATATTTGGCAAGCCCTGGATAACTCATTTATGAGGAATGCATTTGTCCAAAATACATTCAAATAAAAAGTAGTTACCATGCTACATTATCATGCCTTCTACACAGATATTTCCTTTCTATAGATTTTCCCACGACAAGAACACTTCTCACTGAACTCAGGTTAACTGTAGATTGGTGGTTATTTCTCATGTGCAGCCTTTCCAAAGTTCCAAAGGTGATGCGGAGCCACACGTCATCAGTCCTTTGCTATCTGGAGCTATATAACTTCCTCATGTAGCCTCCCACTCACCTCTCCACTGTCTGCTCCATCTGGAGGGAGCTGGCTGCTCTCCTCTAGCCCCAGCTCCCTGAGCACAAGGCAGCCGGCAGCTGCCAGAACATCTGCTGTCTCCTGGCCTCACTCGGGTGACTACCCAAAGCATGGCCTTCTAAAGTTGGACACCTGCCTCCACTTGAAACTGGATGAGTTCAAAGTTCTTGGATTTGTCCTGAGACTTATAGTGACATGGGAATATATGGTATTGCTATCTGTAATGCACAATCAAGTGCACATTTCAAAGGGATACATGTGTTGTCATTAGGACGCACTGGTGTTTTGCCTGCTCTTCCCCTGTGTCAGTGGTCATCTGTTTTTAGAATAATCTCATTCTGAAGGCAGGGTCATTTTGAAGAGCAAGAAGTGGAAGAAATATAAAACCAAACAAAGTAAGTCCTTTATTCTTTAACTGTGTCCATCAAAGGTGAGATTCTTGGCCAGGCTACTGCTACATCAGTGCCTCTAGGCTGTACAAAATCTGCAGAGTGTATCACAGGCTACTTACTCCTTGTGAAGGCAGAGGTTGGCTCCTGTATGAAAAGATGCTTTTTCAAAAGAGGCATCTTGTTTGAAAAGGTGAGGAGATGAAATAATGTTATTCTACATGTAATCTTCCAGGAGGAAAACGTGCACAGCAGCCCCTACATCAGCTGTCCTTTACATATACGGGTCAAATCCTGCCTTGGCAATGTGCAGGGCTCCCACCAGCGTCATACTGGGAAATCTATTGGTTACTTAGAGCTGACTTAGCTTTATTTAGAATGATTTAATACTCTAGTTATTGAAAGTTTCATGTTTTAGAGATGCAATATCTGTTCCTTCTGACAAGTTTCCGCACAGGGCAGGATGCAGTGTGCATAATTAGTGCCATTATTTAGTTGGATCAAATCCTGGACCTGAAGCACTGTGTGAATGACTGGGAGATGCAAGATGCAGAAGGTGTTCTACAATTGGCTTTACCTGGATGATGCTGACACGGAGCTGCCTGGGGATCTCGGAGTGTGTCTGAACAGACATCTTGGCTTGAAATGCAAACCCACACACGGCTTCATACCCTGAACACCCCCCCATTGTTTATGTGTTTCCTTGCTCGAACCTCAAGTTTCTTTAGCTTAAGTCTGGACTGAACAAACAGGCTCTCTTAGGAGGAAACCTCAAGATCACAAGAGGTTGACTCAGGCTCGCTCCAATAGGGCTGGAGGAGCTCTTGGCTGCATGAACTTAGACTTCAACCTGAGGTGTGCCACCGAGGGCTACAGTTCCTGCAGCCAGAACTGCCCTCCAGGAAGTTTCCCTCCCCTCATGGCCACCACAAACATGCTGGCCCTGCCCTCCTCCTGGGGCCCTTGGAGCCCCTTTCTGCAGAGGAAGGAAGACACTCCTTGCTGACAACAATTTTACAGAAAAAGGGTATTAAGAGCCTTCCACAGTTTCCCCAGATCTACTGCCTTCCTCCTGAACAGCCTCTACACAATGTACATGCACTTACTGTGTCCTTCACGGCACAGGGAGGAAGAGCTGCCATTACCACAGGCAGTGATGAAGTGTGGTGGAGAACAAAACCGTGTGTTTCCAGTGGAGTGGGACAAAAAGTCCCAGTATGGGCACTGTCTGAAAACAGAACAAGAAAATCCTGAAAAATAGCTGCAGGTCTAGAAAGAAGATAGAAGCTATTTCTATAGTATTAACTATAAAATAAGTATGCATAAGTAAAATACATGAAAAAATATATTTAGCTGTAGTTAAAAGTGATACTTAATATCCTATATTATTACATAGTACTCTCTTACCAAGAAAATTAATTTATAGGCAAAGAATCAGAGCTTAAAACTAAGAGACTGTGTGTTTTTAAATAACCTAAGCACACTTACTTACCTTTTATTCTCCTGCTGTGTGTGCCCTGAGCTGGCCCAAGGAGTTCTATGAGGTAAGAAATTCCTGCTCAACAAAAGTTCCTTTTCTAAAAAAAGTGAACATAATGGAAATGGGGAACCACTTACCAGGCAGCTGAAAAAGGAGCTGACTGTGCAGAGAATTTCACACCTTACGGCTTTTGGTCAGTAAAGTACATAAACAAAATGTAATTTTCTATGCAATTACAGAGGGTCACACAAGAATATTATGCTTTAGAAACCCACTCAAAAGCACATATTGCTCATTAAGAGCCCAATCCAGAAAATGGTTACTCACTTTAGTAAAGTTGCTCGTAAGCATTTCTGGGAGCAGGGCCTAGGAGACATTTTCCTTTTTATGCTTTCTTAAACAGTTTATGTGATAGTAACAACAGGAAGATAAATTACTTTGAATGGTAGCAATTAGAGAAATAAGGAGTGTGATAGATTTACCATGTGGAAAACATCTTCTTACAGTCATTAAACTTAGTTTTAATGACACAACACTGATTTCAGAAAGAAACAAGTTTATTTGATGAATATAAACAAGCTGATCAACACTAAATACTTCCCGTACACATGATAACAATGTTATGAACTCTAAATACCTTGGTACTTTACACTTCTATTAGACATTAAATTACAATGACTGTCTAATACATGCCCACTGGTAATTTCTAGGAATTCCTTAGTTTCATATCAATGTCCTTAACCACATATCAATATCACAATCCAGAACATGCCACTCACTTGAAAAAAGTATTACAAGAAGCACTATCAAATGAGGATCTAAGGTAAATAGGGAATACTGACCCATTGCTGCAGAACATCACATTCAAATATCACCCTACACACACACACAAAAAAAAAAAAAACCACAACAATGCAGATATAGATTGTGTCAACACATCTGAGGTCTTTTCATAAACACTGTTTAAAAAGTAAATTGAAACTCACTTTCAAATGAAAGTCAATGTACAGGTACGTGCATACTGGATACACAAAATTCATTAAATACAAAATTCATACTGTACATTTAAATGAAAGAAAGAATGCGCAGTACAAGACTGATCTCACATTAAAATAATTGTACCATTAACCAAAAGTTGGCTTGTTTCTTTACACTTAGAGGGGGCAAAAAACTACCAAACATTGCTCAAATAAAATAATTTCCCAACATCACAGTGTTTATTGTAAACCCCGAGATCATATTTTAGTACATGAAAAGATTTTCATTTAGTACATGAAAAGATAATCACATGAAATGAAAAAAAAAAAAAAAAAAAAAAAAAAAAAAAAAAAGGAGAGGGAGAGAGAAGTATAGAAAATAAAAGACAGAAGCAACATTACAGAGTTTTCCTCTCTAGGGACTAAATTGTAGGCCCTGATAAAAGTTTAGATCAATACTCCAACATGATTGGAGCAAAAATGCCCCTAAAATAATATCTATGGCACATAAATATCTAACTATACAGCTTTGTATCTGTGACCCTATTTCCCCCTAGTTTATTTCCTACTTCAAGTATTCAGTTGCAGAATTAAGGTTAAGACCTGATTGTAAGAGACACAGACGATTGTCCCCTACTGTGACAACAAATTTGTCACGAGAAAGTTTTATTGTCTGAGTTTCCAAGTGCAACATTTGTCATATGTGCTAAATGTACTCCCAAAAGCTTTGCTGTTTCAAAAACAAAGATCTAAAATGCCATTGATAGTTAAAGGACAAACTTTTTAAACATGAATGAAATCTGGATTATCTATGCTATACTAATTCTATCCATTTTCTATCTATGGAAAATGGTAGCATCCAGCAGGACTACTGCTCAAATAAATTGCTCTTTGATTGCACCAAGAATAGGGTACAAATAAATAAAATATCATCTCTAGACAATCAATTTAAAGGGCTATATGTATGGCTCATGTAGGGTGTTTAGGGTTAATTGCACCACAGGTTCAAAAAATATTTCTTTCTAAATTCAGTGCAAGACTTCAGGAGTATCCATTTAGATTTTTCTTTTTTTACAGCAGCAAAGAAAAAAGTAATAAGGATTAAGGCCACCCATGCTTAAATTTATTGTTTGTCCTTTAAAAATGCAGATATTCTGTTCCCACTCCCATCAGCGTGGAGGCATTTCTTCCATGGACAAAAAGATGCCTCAATAAAACAACCAAGCATTTGCACATTTGCCAGATGGAGTCATAAGTATCCTCTCCTTGAGAAGTGGTAGAGATTTAACTAGCAGTTAATAATTTCTCACTGAATGTAATGACTTCGTATTTTTATTTTTTCATGTGCATGTGCTTGAGAATTATTATACTAGATATATTTTGTTGATACAAACAGCCTCTAAGTGCTATTTGATCATTGGTATTTTCTTCTGTAACATCTAAGAGTCATTGGGATCCATGTTGGAGTCTGTTTTTCAATGCAGAAAATGATAACAAACAGTTCCTCATTTACAGGAGACCTAGTGCATATACTGTATTCACAGCAATTTTTATTTTTAAATTTTTATTTTTATTTTTATTTTCATTTTCATTTTTATTTTTTGAGTCCCAGCTTTTATTGTTGAAGATCTATATGCATTTGGATGGTAAAAGGTTGACACATCCTTGTGTATATGTCTGTACATACACATACATATGTATTTATATGTGTCTCAAGCTTTTACTATCCAGGAATAGATACATCTTGTTTATAATCATATATTTATGATCAAATTAGATGTCCTATGCATTGTCAGAGACACACACCATATTTCCATAAAGCTAATCTTTGCCATCAGTTATTAGTACCAAAAATTGATTTCATTTCCAACCTGGCCCAGAGCTTAATACCAGTTATACTATCAATGTGTATTTTTTTAATGTTGTTGGTGGTTTGTGGTTTGGGTTTTATTTTTTGATTATAATTATTTTATCAGTAGATATGAGAAAACAGAGGAGGGTAAAGGCTTGGGTTTTATTTTTTGAGAAAGCCCACATCTAACTGGGGGTAAGATTAATGCCAACACCCTTATATCACATTTTACTAATACCTCTTTGATAATCTAGTGCAATAGAAGTTTTAGAATAGACTAGGTAAAAATCAGCAAATGCAGATACCATACCTAAACGAATCTGAATTACTTATTAAAATCAATATCAATTTACCAATAATTAGTTAAATAACCTGTTTAAATGAACTTCATTAAACAATAGTATTCTGAACAGAAGGTTTGTTTGTGAAAGCAATAACTTGCAAGACCCATTGAAGATATAAATAAAGCTCTTGCAATTTCTGCTTGAGTCTCCTTCATTTTTTTTCAAAGTATCTAATTTCCTAGTAGACTACAAGAAATAATGGAGAAGATGCCAATTAATGCATCATTTCATTAGATATCAACCTTAGCATTCATTTTACGCATCTGTGATCTTCTCCAGGATATCATGGTCATGTTTGGAGATCCAATGCAATAGATTATCATCGTTACATTCCAGTGATACGTTTTTTCTTCCTGTTTCACTAGTTCCTCTGACAACTGTAACAAGAGAACAAAATATTCTAGTTAATAAAATGTTTCAGGCATATGCAACATCTTAGTTCTCATCTAATCAAGCTTCTCATAGACATCAGCAGATATATTGCTTTTCTAGGGACTAAGGATTAGGCAAAGATTTAAATTCAATTTGAGCACATTTGATATGCTGGCAATTTGATATGCTGGCAATACACTGGCAATACACTGAAAGGGTGGCAATTAGTTTTACAGATGATTTGTGTCACAAGATTTCCCCTAAATGGGAAAGATTTTAAATTCCAAAGATGTTAAATTGTGTTGTGTTCGTGATTTTGCAAATGGGGAGTTTTCTGTTCTCTACAGGCACAGTAGCTTTGAATTGGAAATGCTATTAAAACAAAATAAATAAATGTTTTATTTGGAAACCAAAGGAATTGTCCTTTTATTTCTGTTCTGTTCCATGGCAGGTGGAATGTGCAGTGCCCCTAGTGACTCTCCAAAAATGGAGGTACTGGAAGCAACATTTCATTGTTGTATTTTAAGTATTTTAAACTAAAGTTCACTTCAATTTTCAAGACAATGGAGGAAGGTTTTATGGATACAAGTACCTCAGATTTATAAAAATTGAAATATTCCACAGTGAGCATTTCAGCCATGCAGTCACTTGTGAATGGTTGTTGCTCTCCATGGCTTAGCTGGTACTTCTGAAATCTAGGGGACTGCTAAAGGTAACTGGTCAGTCAGTGGAAAGTGTCTTCTTGCTGTCCATGGGCTTTGGAAGAGGCTTTGTCTGATTGAAAGCAACTTCATTGGGAGGCCTGAATGATTTGTATTGTTCCAATAGTTCTGTTGCAAACAGCACAGTACTCTTGAACAGAGTGCAGTGAATTAGTCTTATTCATGGTATCTGTATATCAGATGAGTGGGAGGAATGAAATGATTCCTTTGCAGGGCAGTTGTTCATTTATCTACTTACTTTGTTCCTGGAGAAGTGAAAATGTGTAATGTATGGGATCCTTCATTACTGAGCTTGCATTTATTTAACTAGAGAGGTTTCCAAAACATCCATCTTTAATAAAAAAGTAACCGCTGCAGAAGTTTTACATTTTTGGATACAGCTGAAAAAATGTTGTTGTGTACAACTATTTGACTAAAATGCCTCTTTAAATTCTAGAAGCTAACATTTATCAGAGTAATTGTGCTATGAGTAAAGTGCAATACTTTGTGTAGAACACAAACTTACAAATGATTTTAAATCCCTATTTTCAAGTTCATGTCTGTGTGGTAACTACATATAATGGTTTATATAATACAAACTTAGGTGAATAATTTTACTTCTCCAATGGGAGGTTGGTACAATTTTTCTGGTTAAAACACTTTGGGACTAATCCAAAGCCCACTGAAATGTGGAAAGGTTTCCATTGATTTTAACAGGCTTTGGATTTGGCCCTTGAATGAAGAAAAAATGACTTCTGCAGAGCTGGAAAGCCAGGGAGTTCCTAAAGTAGATCATGTTACTAGTTCTGGCACATAAAATCTTTGCGAACTTTTTATGAAAACTGTAAGTTAGAGCATGCGTTACGTTTCGTGAACTGTGCATAGCTACCATTCTTTTGTGTGCCAAGTATTTCCTAATCATCATTCAAAGAGATATATAGGCATAGGAAGCACCCATATAAATTAAGGAGGAGAGTACATTCCAGAAACCTTAGCATAAAAATGTCTATATTTTTTTAACAATTTCACTAAAATATGATCACAGCAAATCTTCAATACACTTGATATTTTACAAGCTGAAGTTCCTTTGCAATTAACACTCATTTATGCACTCAAAAAGAAGAACTCCGAATAAAGAATCCAATCTGAGCAGGAGCAGACAATCACAAAACACAACCTCTCTTCAGCTTGCTCCCCAAATTTTCATTGGGGTTTTAGTACAGAATGAAATTCCCAAATAAACTCCATGCGCTTAATCAACCCACCCATTCATCAGGAAACCATACATGTATTGGGACTGTAAAAAAAACTGGCTCACCACAGGTAGGAAATGCAAAGTATTTCTCAAGTAAGTCAAATAAATATATAAAAGGATATTGCTGTCAAATACCAACTGAGGTTGAGTAAATTAAATTTATATTTGTTTCTTAAATGCTGTACTTGGTATAGGTCACTGAACCTCTGAAACAGAAATACAAGTTGGTAACATATATTGGGCCTGAGATTCAGCACTGCTGCAACTGAAATTAATGTCTTATGAGTTTGGCACCTCTGATGTTAGATACCAGTCAATGAAAATATCAGAAGGATGTGAAGATATAAAAGTGTAGTATCCCAAAAATATTTGTTCGTGTTGTTTTTCCTTTGGATAAAGACACCTGCCAGATTACTACTTTTTACCTCCAATCCTTTCCTCTCAGCAGTGATTTGCAGGAATGAGCTGGGAGAGGGTGGGTAAACACAAAGGGGTTAAAGGGGAAACTGTTTAATAACAGTAGTAAAATGCAGGCTATTTTTGACATCTGGGTTAATGTCCATTATGCTCCATATGCTTTCCAAATGTTTGCAACAAGCACCTAGATACAAAAACAGATACCCATTCACATAGGCTTAAATTGCCCTCTCCTAACCTGTTACACATGGTACCTACATAAAAGGCCAACGACTGATATGGTAATTAGCAAGTCAGAAAGAGAGGGAATGGCCAGTTTATTGTAGGGAATTTGTATCTGACCAAATGTTAGTAGAGAAGGATATCATTAATGGAATCCTGTTAGGGCTATTTCTGCTCCTTAAGGTATAACAAGAGATGCACTGTAATGTGACATCTTTTAAAAAGCTGTCAGGATTAATTCCTCAGTTTCCTTCTCTGCACTAATTCATCACTACTGCCATCAGACTACTAAAAATGATGTGAAATAATTTCATTTTCTAGAAACAAGTAACTAGAATAAAAAATAGTAATGCACAAATAAGGATATAACACCAAGTTTTTCTTGAGTGACCTCCTGGAACTCAGCTGTGCCTCTTGCAACAACAAAATCTAAATGACATTAATTAAAAAAGAAAAAATAAATTATATTAATTAAAAAGAAAAAAAAAAGAAAAAAGAAAAAAAAAAAAAGAGCATTCTCAATTTTTAGTTTTGCTCATCCAAACCCATGAAAAGAATGACACAATTAACTAAGACAAAGCCCTGGCACAGCACTATGCTGAATTCTGACCCTGCCACTAGCTTTTTTTGTGAGTAAGGGAAAAGCCACATCATTTTTCTGTGCTTAGCTTGCTCTTTGCTATAGCAGGGATAACATCAGGGTCCTCTCAGGAATTTGCAAGTCTTCATGTTTGTAATGTGCCTTAATAGTCTTGGATGAGTGCTAAGTATTATTATTTTTCAGTTTCTGCATTTGATTACATCTGAAATAACATAGTAAAAAATAAATTAATATATTAAGTTACAAGTAAAAAACAAGCATGTGGCTTGTTCAGCTACTTGTAACACTTTTAATATGAACACATATTGTAGACTAGGTGATTCCCAAGGTATGTAATGACATGTACCATGTGGGCATAACTTAACAACTGCAGGATCCCCCCCAGATGTTTGATTCAGCCAAAAAATCTGCTCATGGCTTCTGTGTGAGCCCAGAGCTTGGACCAGTGGGAGCACTGCAGGCTGCTTTTCCCCTGCCTCTGAAGTGCAGTTGCAAATGTGATCACAGTCCAGGTATTTGCCACTCAGCACAAGAAACAATATTGGGTAGCACAGATTTGCTGGAGTGCTCTCCCCTGTTACACTTCCCTTAGCATAAGATACAACAATGGCATATGAACTTCTCTGTCCCAACAAAAAATACAGGTTTTGCTACTTCCACCTGGCCCAATTCTTGTGGAAAGAACAAAAAACAACCTCTCACTTTCTAATGAATACAGTATCCTGCTAAAGTCTGCCATATCAATGTGGAAATCTTCAGCAGGGAAGGCCAACGAGAGAAATAATTAAGACATAAAGTTGTATTCAACCCGTGTGGAAAACTTTCAATGCCAAGATGCCAAAGACACCTAAGACACTTGTTGAGCTAAGTGAAAAGGTAAAATCTAGTTTAGATTTATAGCATTCCTTCAGTGTCCCTCTAGGAGTTTGGCTTTTTGCCAGTGTTCCTTGTTAAAAATTTGTTAAATGTGTTTGGCATTAATGCAAACACAAAGTGCTCATTTGTTACAAATTCTATTGGAATGCATTCATTTAAGGCAATGAAGTAGTTACCAGAAAAGAAAAAATGTTCATTAAGTACATTTTAAAAATACAATGATGTATGCGGTGCATAACTATGGCGCCCCAGTGCCTATATAAATATCTGACAGAATAACCACAAGTTGTGTTTGGTTTGAAATTGGAATCTTTTAAACATAACCAATAGAACAAAACCTGGTTTTGTTTGTTGTCAAAACTGATGTTAGTCTTTCTTGTTTAGAACTAGTTAAAATAACCAAAGTTTAGGCATACAATTTCTTGCATCTCAAATCAATAAAGCACACAGGTTAAAATAATGCAAAAGAAAGTTTCCTGATTCAAATAGTAAGTGCAGCACTGCACATTATCTGGAGAACACTGAACACAGAAAGTAAACACCCTGCTTGGAGGAGAACAAATTTTAGTCATTCTTAAAAACTCCACTTGAGGAAATGTTACCTGGGAGATCTGCAGCTGTCTGGCACCAATCAGTTATACCTGGGCAAAAGGTGTTCTGCACTGCTCCAAACCAATGGGGCACATCACACAATAAACAGCTCAAATCTAGTTTATAAAACCCTAACAAAAAAGCCTATCTTCTGTGGCGATATGAAAAATCTCCAATTATAATCATTCTTGATTCTGAATAAGCAATCCAGAGGAGTATTTTTTAGAGGCTTGAAAATGTCATTTAAGTTAAATTGTAAAAGTAGAACCATTTCTCATCTTACTTCATCAGTGATTTATAGTTACTTATAATAAAGCTTAAAAATGGTAAATATGAGAATAA